GGGGGTCCATCATCCATCCCCGTGTTCTCGCACAAATGAGACTCGAGGATAAGATAATGTTACGTTACATTACACTAACCGGTTTTAACGATGCGGTTGAATGGACTTCGGGATAAATCACACACCTTGTTCTCCCGGCGGAGTAACCCTAGAGATAACATTCCATATAATAGACCAGGACACCGCATACAGCACCATCATGGGACGATCATGGATACACCCCATGATAGCCATCCCCTCCATCTTATACCAAGCGATCAAATTCCCAACACCTTGGGGAATATTCAGCATATGAGGGGAGTAACGTACATCCAAAGAATGCTACCGAATCACCATGGACAACACAACGACTCAACAAAAGAAAGAAAAGGAAAAAGAAGCACGACAATCAATAGGGTCGAGGTTGTGAGCACGTGATTTTTGCCCTATATGAATTATTCCCAAAAATTCAAACAAAATGATTTCTTTATTATTTTACAATTTTTGTGAACTTTTGTGTTATTTTCTGATAATTGTTGCATTTTATTGGTGCTTTTTAATTCATATGAAAAATATAAAAAAATACATTTGGCATTTGCATTTAGGATGTAATTTCATATTTTACGATTAATTAGGGGTTAAGTTGTTTTTAGAACAAAATATAAAGAAAATAACAAAAATAGTCCATTTTTGCATTTTTAATTGTTAATTGTTGAATTTGCCACGAAATAGTTATTAAACAATTTTAGGAATTAATTAGTTTAACTTTGAAAATATTAGGTCTTTATTTTATTTTATTTTATTTTTTTGCATTTTTATAAAGTCAGAAAAATGTAAAAAAAATAATAATAGATAGAATGAAAACAAAACAAATAAAAGAACTAAAAGAAAGCCTAGTCTTAGTAAATACCCCATTTTGGGCCAGTCCAGGCCCAATTTCGCCCAAAAAACCCGTCCAAATAGCCAACCCAAACCCCCGATCCGGTCCGTCCCTTTACCTAACCAAACGACCCCGTTTCGATAAGATTCAATCCCAGCCGTCGAGGATCTCTGATCCAACGGCTGGGAACTTGTTTAATCGAATTGCTATTCGAACAGGGTTTCAGATTAAATTGAGTGTTGTCACTCTGCTGTTTTGGTTGTTCGTAGTTTGCGTCCAAATCCTGATTTCCTTACCTTTTTAATTACCTTCATGATTAAATGATGTAGAGTGTTAGGTTTTGATAATCTGATTTAGTTCAATTGCCTAATTACCGGTCTACTGATTCTTAAGTTTAATTGCATGATTGTTTAACTAGTTTAATTTTTAGGATCTTCTGGTTATAACTGAATGGGATAGGATCTTGTTTAACCACGGTTAGTTCTTGACCAGTTACTAGGGTAATAGGGGGAATGGTCTGGTTTAGCTCAGTAATTCTCAGAATAAGTCAAGGGTAGTTGGGGCAATTCAAAGAGAGGAATCTTGCATTTAACTGATTTGGAAACCCCTAGAATATTCTAGATGGGGTTCCAATCAGAATTTTAGGACTTTAATGTAGTAACTTGAGACACAAGTCAATAAGTAGGGGACTAAATGAGTAAATAAAGAGGGACTAAAAGGCAACTGAAAATCTGAAATATTCCTCAAACTCTGCCTATAAAAGGCAGTGTATTCTGCCTTGAATAAGAAGTTTTCAGCTCCAAAAATTCCCCCCCAAAAGGTGATCTCTAAGTTTCAGATCTGATTTTGAAATTCAACATTCAAAAACCAAAAACAATAGAAAACCTCTAGAAAAACCAAAAAGAAATACTGTTCCATTGAAACCTTAGGTGAATTTCAACTTTTGGGCTATTGATTTACATTTCCTAGTTTAGTTTCTGTTTGCCGTAGTTCCAGAAGTCTGCATGTCTGATTTCGAGCAGTTTTGGAGTTCAATCAGTTTGTTTTTGGTCATTTACTGGGTGCTGCATTTCTATCATGTGTTACTAGGTTGTTGTGAAGATTGTTTTGGTTCAAATCACTCCAATTGTTGCTGTTTTTTGACTGGCTGGATTTCGGTAGTTGTTATTGCTGCTGACTCCTTCTTCTTCTTCTTCTTATATTCCAAACATCCAGGTACACATTCTCGAATTTGATGTGATGTAGTTTTGAAGTGGAAATGCAATAGACTGCTCATTCGCTTGTTCCTGGAAGCTGTGCTTGTTTGGACCATAATGTAGTAGTAGTTAGTTATATGTTAGACTCATAGTTTAATTCTGGCTTGAATGTAATTAATTGGACTGTTTTGGGACTGTTTAAACCCGTGTTATCTAGTTGTAGTTTTAATATAGTTAATACTTGCTTAACACAACGTTTCTTCTATTAAAATAAGGAATCAGAAACAGTTGGATTTGCATTTGATTTTGAAATCAAGTTTAATGTCAAGCTGAACCTGTGTTGTACTGCAGTAATTCACATCAGCAGATTAGTTCTTAATATATAGGTGTTGAAATCTTAGGTTAATGGCTCAGATCAGTAATTTGTTTGAATTAAATATGCATCATTAATTGGACTGTCCTGAACTACTTAACTCGCTCATGTTAGTGTTAGTAGAATTGTATGATCAAGCTGTTGGTGATACGAATTGTTGGCCACACTTTAATTTGCCTTTCACCTTTAGTGGTGTTTAAGAACTAATCAGCAGTTTAAATAGATAAAATAAGCTGAGCCTCAAATTGGAGATCAAACAATTACTGTCCTGTCCATTTGAGTAAAATAGCGTTGGGATAGATTCAGTAGGTACTTGGATTGATTTAATTGAAACTGTGTTTGGTTTAATAGACAGCCTAATTCCAGGACATTTGAGCCTCAGCACTCTAGCGAATGGCCCAGGTCCTATCCTGATTGTGTGCTCGCTTGGACTTGGGCCCAAACCTGCGATTGTTTTGCCTTTGTGCCCACTTGGGTAATGGTTTCTTTATATGGGACCCCAACTGATTAAGGATAAATAATTCACATGAGTCCATGGACAC